CCCCCCCCGCCCCCCCCCCCCCCCCGCCCCCCCCCCCCCCCTCTCCCCCCCCCCCCCCTCCCCCCCCAGCCTGTCTGCCTCACCAGCCAACTCCTCCAACTCTCCCTGCCCAAACCTTGCCTAGCAGCACAGGCACTGACTTTCAGCTTTCTCCAGGGGTGCCCCACCCTCGCTCCACTCCTCCTCCGAGGCCTCTCCCCCACCTTGCCCTCACTCCACCTCTTCCCACTCCTCTCCTCCCCCCCCCCCCAGCACCTCCTGCCTGCTGCTGAACAGCTGATCGGCGGCAGCGGGTGGGAGGCGCTGGGGGTGCGGGAGGAGCTGATCAGCGAGACCTGCCAAACAGCTGATGAGTGGGTGCTGAGCACCCACTATTTTTTTTTCCCTGTAGGCGCTCCAGCCCCAGAGCACCCCTCGAGCCAGCGCCTATGCCTAGCAGGCAACAATTGGGGAAGTCCAGCCCCCGAGCTCATCAGGGATATTTCTCTGCAATGCACAGCCCCTGTCACTGTGCACTCACAGAAGATATTAAATTCGCTGGTCTTTTAAAGAGTCAGCACATTACAGTTTATTAAGTTAAGTGAAGTCAATACACCCTTCCTTTCCAACACAGCACTCAACTGGTTTGTAGTAAATGTAAAACAAGTTTATTAAACAAAAGTCATAGGTTACTTTAAGTGATACCAAATATAAGGAGCAAAGCTAGAAAGGGAACAAACTATTGGTAAAAATGTGCTTTCTAAGGCAAAGACCCAGCTTAACAACATACAGACTTTGCTCAAGGTAGCTTATTCACCAGTCCTCTTTTTCCAGTAATAGCTGGCTAGCTTTTTAGCCAGGATCCCCACAGAGTCCACGGCACCTCATCTCCTTAGGTGAAGGATAATCCAAAATCTTTGTCTGTCCTTATAGCTCAAAGTCTACCTTTGTTTCAAGACTCCAATTGATTCAGTCTCCTGGGGCGGGGGGACAATTCCATTTTGATTACAGTGTCCCCTGGTGTGTTCCAATGTGATGTTTTCAGCTGCAATTTTACAATGTAAATGTTCTCCTGCAAGCTTTCATTAAAAAAAATGAATAGCCTGTTGAATTTGGCCACACCTGGTTTGAGGTGTTGGCCTCTTTTCTTTGTCTTGAGAAAACCAATTTATCTAACCCCACGCCTCCCGGACATGCTTGGTTTAAACCGCTTTTAGTCACAGCCTTAAAAGCAAAATATCCGTGAGTGGCCATAATTCCACATGCAGCATTGGCACGTACATTTCACAATGATATTATTGACTGTGTGTTGTTAGTTTTTAGAGATACCTCACAAGGCATATTCTGTGCAAATATCACTGCAGTGGTGTGTAGAGTGTGAATACAGAGGTGCCTAGTGCCCCACCCACCTGTGCTCCACTAATATCTGCTGAAGGATCTGTACCCAGCTTAGGTTTGGCTTCGGAAAGCAGAGGAGTCTTCACTGTTGATTTAAGCTTTGTTGATGGAACCAGGTAGTTAGGATTACAAGGAGGTGGCTGATTAGACTATACTGAAGGTGTGTAATATGTAGGCCCGATATTTCTGTGATCGGGGAGAGGTTGATTAGAGTTAGGGTAGTAATGGACAAGTCATTAATTTGAATTGTTAATTGGAGTGGCTAGAGGGATTCCATATGTGCTGTCAGTGCCGAAGCCTGAGCATAAAGTGGCTTGACTTTGTATGAAATGTCGTCATAATCTTGCAAAGATCTCACAGTCGCTCACTATGTTCAAAAGTGGCAGCGAAGGCTCTTCAGCCATGTCACCACACTGAACAAAAACTGCCCAGCACTCAGTGCTCTCAAACTCTCCATCGATGCAGGAAGGGGTGCACGCCTTGACCCGACACCACCTGTAGGGTCACGCCAGAGCTTCACGGATTTGCAGGGAACTTCACGACATGGTGCCTGGTACAACACTATCAATCAGGGTCACTCTGGCTGGTGTAGCAACCCTCAGGAGATGATGCATGTTCAACAAGGATGATGAGGTCAGCAGATCAGGGTTATTTAGCTGTCGTAATTAAGTTAAATGGAGTTATGGGTTAGGCTCGGGTTTGAGGATCGACAGCAGGACTTACTTAATGAGTACAGAGGTGCTGATGCTCAGCCTTCATGGTCTCCCAGGATCTTCTGACCATCCTTTGGCTTGTGTCTTCAGTTCCAGGAGGATGCTGACGCTGTGAGCCAGACACTGAAGAAGCTGAACTCGGACCTGGATACAAAATACAGCAAGTTCAACAAAGACAGTCCCGGAGTGGTGTCTGATTTACTGCACCAGTTGGAGGTGAGGACCTCTGGAGGGGCTAATACAGACCAGCAGCGTCTTGTGTCTCACTCGCAGACTGGACGCTATGACACCTTTCCAGGATTACTGTCAAATGAGGATCGCCAAGTATAAATTGTGAGCAAAGCCCCCCACTCTCCAAAAAAAGGATCGTCATGGGCTGTATATTAATGAGTTAAATACCTGGGGCAACGTTCTGCCCTCAGTCACTCTCATGCAGCCCCTGAACTGAAGCCATTAGGATGCTAGAGAGCGCCCCGGCTGACCTGGTGGGAAGCGGTTTCTGTGGAGGAGTTGTGACAGTAGGTAGTTTGGAGAGAGACTCCCCATAGGAGGAAAGCACCAGAATCCCCATCAGAGGATGAGAAAAGGAGGTGAAGGTGCCTTTAGATGACTCTATGCATTAACAGGAAGGGCCATGGAGAGCTCACTGAACATGCCCTGCCTGCCTTGCGTCATTCTTGTCCAGCTGGCAGTGAGCAGCCCTGTCTTTTGCTATCCCTTCCATCCCATGTGACGCTGTTCAGTCGGATAAGAGGGGGGAAGATGGGCCAGTTTCTGAACAATGGGCTGCTGTGGGGGTATGAGAAGCCCTCATAACTAGAGCTGATTTTTTTTACAGAACTTTTTTTTTTTCATCAGAAAATGCCAATTTGTCAGACTCAAAACTTTTCACGAAAACACCAATTTAAATGAAATGTTCCTCGGCAAGGTTTCTCAGGTCCAAGCTGGAATTTCTGGTCAAAACCAGAGAGCGAGCACAACACCTCCTGAATAGCCAATAACCCAGTGGTCAGGACACTCACCCACGTTCAAGTCCTGAATAAAACAGTGCAGGGACTTGAACTTGTGACTCTCACATCCCCAGGGAGTGCCCCCCCTCCCCCTCCCCCTCCCCCCCCGGCTATTTAGGGATCACTTTCCTAAGGTCTCAGGTTTCTTCCAATGCAGAATAACAACAAATTCTAAAACCTCAAAAGTTATTGCAAAATGGAATTCTTCTTTTCTGGCCAGCCCTACGCATACCCCCCTTGTACATTACAGGGCAAAATGTATGTGAGAAGAGAGAGAGAGCAAGTTTGAAAACAAGAGGATGAGCGAGAAGAATGGAGAGAAAAAATGGGAGGGAGAGAGGAGAAAAGGGACAAATTATTAATCATAATATCATTACATGTGTATAGTGCCTTTCACCACATATAGGGTGACCAGATAGCAAGTGTGAAAAATCAGGACAGGGGATGGGGAGTAATAGGCACCTATATAAGAAAAAGCCCCAAATATCGGGACTGTCCCTATAAAATCGAGACATCTGGTCACCCTAACCCCCCACCATCCAGGGCTCTTTGCAGAGTGGGTACGCGGATTGCTCCTGCTATTGAAATGCAGCCGTTTCTAGGGCTGAATGTGGCAGCCATTCTGCACCCGTTTTCAGAAGAGTAATTTCTTCAGCTGATTGCCCAGAGGGAGATTTCAGGAGGCAGGCTATAATCACCCACACTGGAATTTGGCCAGGCCACCCTTGTAAGCATAGAACTGGCCTGAGCTGAAGGAAAGCGGGAAAAAGAGTAGAGGAGAAAAAGAAGGGAGCAAAAGAGAAATGGGTTTGGCGACTAGGTGGAAGCTCTTGTGCTTCTGAATCTGTTCTGGTACAGCTCTCTCCCCACAGCCTTTCTGCTCTGCGATGGAATAACCCCAAGTACCCACCATCTCTAGGTCCCAAATATGAGACTCTTGATGCCATGCTGTCTCTAGGCTGCATTATTCACCCAAGTGCTGGCCTGGTAGGAATCTCTGCTTCTTCTCTTTATTTAGAATGAGGAGAAGACCGTGAAACAAGCCGAAAAAAGCATCGCTGAGCTGAAGAAGAGGAGCCCGGAGATCAGCCCTCTGAAACTGCGCAGAACCTGCCCTTCCCAACCACTTGCCCTGGACACCCTCTGTGACTGGGCCTCTGGTGACGTAAGGGAATGTTCTTACCCTTTGGAGAGGAGTGGTATTGGATTCCTCTTTGGGACGTATTCCCAGGGTTGTGCGCTTCTGAATTTCCAATGTGCCCCTCACTGTGGCACTAGGAACCATTCCCCTTAGTTTGTCTTCATTGGAGAAAATGGCCTGTAGTTTAAAACCAAACATACCCATTGTTCCAGGTCCATCAAAGCAATTGAGAAATGCCTATTGACAACACTGGCAACTTTTGTCTTCCTGGTGCCATGGGTTGGCTTCGTTTGCTGCTCCCCTTCTTAGTCCCAGAGATGATCCTTTTTTGAATGTAGAGAGCCTATTCAGAGGATCACGAGCCAATTGCTAACCTGAAACGCCCTCCTACCTGGCGGGAAACATAGGCCCACCTGCTGATGCATTTCCAGTGAGAAATACATACCTCAGTGCCCAGGTATCTGCTCTGCCATGGACGTGTGTATCTTCACACCAGCTAACCACACTGTTCTCCCAGGGGATAATGTGGGGCAGCTGAGTTTCCTAGATGAGACAGGAGCATCTTGAGGACAGTCAGACCACAAATCCCCGATAAATGCAACGTGTTTGGTCTCGTTAGGAGACTTCGGAAAGTCTCCTCTGTTACCCGGGAGCCCTGAAAATGCAGCTCGGGAGTCGGAGCTAGGGAATCAAATCCTTTCTCTGTTCCTTCCAGGTGCAGCTCAGCCGAGGTGAGAAGTACACTCTGAAAGACAACAGCAACCCAGAGAACTGGGTGGTGCAGAGCAGCACTGCGGTGACAAAGACCGCTCCTGCTGCTTGCTTCTTCATACCTCCTCCAGACCCAGAGGCCATGGGCAGAGTTAACAAGTGAGTAGGCAGTGGAGTGTGAACAGAGAGCAGTTTGAATACACTCTAGCTCCAGTCTTTATATGTATTCATTTAGGAATTAACTTTACTGTGCTTCAGCAAAGACATAGAAAAGAAACTCTAGGCCACCTACTTTTTCTTCCTGTCAGTGCAGGATTGTTCCCTATTATATGTTATTCTAGTGCTTCGTCCAGTTCTAAATGCCCCCAAGCAATGGAGTTTCTACCACTTCCCTTGAGGCAGATATTCCACAGTCCACAAACCTCACAGTCAAGAAGTTTTCATGACATTCAGCCTAAATTTCTCTGTCTTGCATCTTGTCTCAACACACAAGCGGCACCAATTTGACTAAATAGGCTTAGAATCTGATTTAGTTAAATCCTCACTGCTCCCTTGTGTGGACATTTCTAAATCAGGGTAAGAATGCCTTATATTAAGCTTAAGTTAATTCCTTACCCGCTTAAACTAAGCCAATATGAAGCTAAATCAATACTCTTAAGCCAATTTAAGAGTGTTCACACAAGGGGACTGCACTGATTTAACTAACTCAGTTTCTAAACAGATTTCATTAAGTCAATGCAACTTGTGAGTTTAGACAATACCCAAGGCCCACTTTCAAAAGAGATTTAGGCACATTTAAAAATGGTACCCACAGCCTTTATTTCATTCCTCCCAATTACCAACCACTAGAACCACCTTAAATAATTCCTGTCCCTCCTTGGTGCTTGTGTATTTCACGTGCAGTAAAAAAATGTTTGATTTTAAAATTTTGCAACACACTGTCTCTTGCATTATGTATCTTGATAATGCTACACAATGACTGCCCCCCAGTGCCCTGTAAGATGTATTTCCCCTCTAGCAACTTTTTACTGATACCTTCAGGGACATTTACTACCCTTCCTATGCCCCAGACTGTAAACCAGTCACTCGTTTGTATTGCTTTCCAGTAGCATGGTCCTTGGACGAGGCTTGCAGTGTAGTCATTACTATTCTGAAGGATACCCCTTTTAGGTCATCTACACAAGACTAGGGATGACTGTTCTCAAGCACTGTGTTTAGTAACAGGAATTAGTCCACGGCCTTCAAAAGTCCCTGCAAATTGCTCTTTGCAAAGTCACTTTTCAACAATCCCTGGTTTTTGCTCCCATTCCCAGTTCTCCCCTGAAGTCAAATTGTTCTTACGAATCAGAGTTGTGCCATTTCCAGATGTCAGGGGAGTAACAGTGTCCGCACTGGGAGCAGTTAGAGTTCCAGTTAAACGTGCTCGAAGGTAATTAAGCGACACCTTCCCTGGATCGGGTAACTGCACTGTGCTCAGGTGAGGCCCGTCTCTGGTTTAGGAACTCCCAGACAGGTGTGTAAGCAGGCTTTATGCAGGCTAGTTTCTATTCCTATTGACTCCTGTGCTGGGAGTGATGCTCCCTTCTTTCGCTTGTAGGCTGGAAGGTGAATTGAACACAGTGAAGCAGAAGAGAGCGACAGTTCAGAACTCCCTGAAAAGCAGCCAGAAGGAGCCAGTTAAGTCCAGCCAGCAGGGTACGTCAGGTTATTAACTGCTTTCTAGCTTAACATAAAAAGCTACCCCGCAAAGTGAGATCACTGGTCTCATTTTGTTGGACTTTATTGAAACTTGCCGAGTTGGCAAAAGCTAACAACTCAGTGAATGCTGTAGGCTCAGCTTTTAAGCTTGGGTGTCTCAGCAGGATGCCTACCTGTGGGCACTCGTGGGCATGCCGAAGCACAAGTACACGTCACGTTATCACGTGGATGCAGTCAGTCTAGTGCTTAGAGGAGAGGACTGGATATTGGGATCTCTGAGTCTAGACCTGGCCCTGCCACAGACTCTCTGGGTGACCCACGGCAAGTCACTTTGCCTCTGTGCTGCTCTTTGAAAATCTCTTGAGACCTCACCACACAAGGGAGACGTGTGGCCTTCACAGCGTCTGCCGAGTGTTTTGAGATCCTTGGGTGGCAGGTGCTGCAGAAGGGCTGAGTCCCAGTACTGAGGCCTTGCATGACCAACCCGTCCCAAGCTCTTGATGTATCCGCATTTGAAAGTTGGCTTCCCCAGCTCTTTTCCATCGGCAAACTCCGTCGGCTAACTGCCAGGGCGACTGATGGATAAGAAGGCTGCAGAAGGACAACTCATACAGCAAAAAAACAAACACGGTCAACAACTCTCTTACCCAAACAAGTTACTTCACTGGCCGTGGAGCAGCCCTTTGCAGATCTGAGCCATCAGCCCCCTGCAGCGCTGAGTTCTCTGCATGTAGGAAGCACTGCAAGGGGGAGTGGAAAGCTCTGACCCAGACTCACAGTCCTGGTCTCATAATCTGTGTCCAAACACACACGATGGATTAAATACAGCGCACCTCACTCCAGCATAATCCGTTTGAAGCAGATGCGTACATGTGGTGTCTCAATGAAAGGGTAGCTGAGGGCCAAGCGGCAGGGCCTGTATATCAGAGATCTAGGGAGAAAGGTTAAGATACCCAGAGTGTGATGCAGATGGGACAGTGCACTGATTCAATATCAATTTGTCATTCCAGCACCAATCAGAAGTCCCGCCGTTGCCCAGGACGACCCCCAAGCTGACCAGCTCCTCTCTAAACTGAATAAGATTGGCGGGGACTTGGTCCAAGTGGAGAAGGAGATTTTTAGTCGGGTGAGGTCCCCAGTAAGCCACAGTGCCCCGACAGAGGACCTTCACAAAAGGATCAAGGACCAGGAGGTGAGGGCTGAGGAGCACAGAGAACGGGTCGATCGTGGTAGCTGGCTCCAACAGTTGGAGCAGAATTGAACTGACAGAAAACGTGCAGGCGTTAGCCCCTGCCGCTCCAAAGAGAAAAGGAGAGAGCTTTGCTGCTGCTGCAGAGACATCTGCTGGCTTCAGCGCTCAGAAAGAGGCCTGCTGGAGGTAGTTACAGTGCAGGTCTGACTCAGGGGAAAATACGGGCACTTCCTCTGCTGAACTAGTGATGTTTCCTGTACTTTAGGAATGGTCCTTATGGGAGGTGACCTGAGAAGACACATGCGCATAAACCCTGTGGTTCTCTCCCCTCCTTTGGGCTTAGTTCTGGTTCAGTGTCTGTTCGGTGCTGATTATGTCATCTGCTGCGGGTCTTTGTCCTGCCCTGGGTGGACTCAAACTGTTGGTTTTCTCCCCTTTCTGGCTATGCTCCACTCTGTGCCGTGGATACGTGTTCCCAGCCTGGCTCAGCCAAGGCACCCCGGCAGATCCCGCTGTATCGCATCAGCTTAACACTGAGCTTCTGTGTGTTCAGTGACTCTGGGAATTTCTGTTGCTGTGTTAGGAAACCACAAAGAGACTTCAGGGCATTGGGGCAGATAAGGAAGCCATGCAGAAGGAGTGTGAGGCCTTCCTGTCCAAGAAATCCACCAGCACCGCCGCCTCTCAGCTCCCCGTGACTCTGAACAACGTCAAGAACAAGTATAATGACGTCAAGATGCTGTCCAGCCTGTACGATGAGAAGTAAGTGGAGACCGTAACCCTAGATGGGTAAGAGCAGAGTTGTAAGCACCTGCTCAGCGAGGTCTTACAAAGTTCTGCTCACAAATGTGTTTGGTTTTGTCCTGAGCAATTTAGGAGGAATCTCAGATTTGACTCTTCTGTACAAATACATAAATAAATGGTCTTTGTTTTTCAATCAGAACCATGTGAAATGTTGCACTTTGAATTTGAAATCTTTTTTTTTTAAATTCAGATGGCCTCATTTTCACTGGAAAAAAAGGCCTATTTCCAGGTGGAAAATTCATAAAATATGATGCAATTTTCTGCACAATGGGGCCATTTTTAAGTTTCTAATAAAATACAATTCCCCCCCCCATTTTTATTATTGTTTTATCTGTATTCTTAGAGACCCCAAATGAGATGAAAACCACATTGCTCTGAGCACTCTACAATGACCTGGTAACAATCAGGATACAGATTTCTGGCAAACGGGGATTACCACCCGGTTTGAATATGTGCGGGGGCTCAGACGATGTTTCCATTTTGTAAAAACACAGCAAGGTGAATCAGCTGCTGTAGTTTGAAATTTCTCCTAGAACAACCCAATGGGCAGGTGGACACAACTGCCAACCTCTCCTAGGGCTCGTTATCCTGTTCTTCTGTCTTTAAGGCTGCTCTCAGGAGAAAATGGGGCTGGGTGTCAAGGGTCAGGGTGTGTTTTCAAGGCCAACTTCTTAATGGTCTGCAGTGTGCAATGAGTGACAGACGAATCCCCTGCAGCTAGTCAGAAGCCTGGCTCCAGGGCAGACTCTGAGAGGTGAGGGGAGTGATGTGTATCCTCTGTAGCTAGTCACGTTCCACCATCTCCGCCTCCTCAGAGCCAAGGCTTCCCTGAACCTGGAGAACCAGATAGAGATCACGGACGAGATCATCAGCAGCTTTGAGTCCAAGCTGGCTCAGGACAGCACCATCCCAGCCTCTCCCAACGCCCTGCAGGATCGTGCCAATGAGCTGCAGGTGAGGGAGCCTTTGGCTTCTCAACAGCAATGAGAACGATACGGGCATAGTAAGAGATGGAGTCGGTAACCTGGGCTCTGTTTATCCCATTGTTAGGGTGCCTAAGAGACTTGGATGGCCACGCCTCTCCCAGTAGGCCCTGACTCCTTCATTTAGACCAGCATTGCTCTACCTTTTGGGGCTGCTGACCCCTTGTTTGAAGTCAAAAATTTTCACAACCTCCTGACATTTCTATAGCTGTAAGGGTAAAAACTGGATCAAGGCTAGCAGTGCTAGGCCTGTATAATTGACCTGTGTGTGTGTGTGTGTTTGGGGAAGCTGGCAGTGGCAGAGAATACTGACATTGAAGGGTCAGGGTATGTGGGGAGTGAGATTTTCTTTTGCTTTAGGTTGTAGTAACATTTTCAATACCTCACGACCCTCCTGATGGCCTTTTGGGACACACACACCCTCTCCCAGGGGGCACAACCCACCACCCGAGAAACACTGCTCTAAATGAGCTTCCATAGTGTCTGCAGACTAAATCACTTTCACCAGTTCAGAAACTGCTGTTTATTGGTAGGTGGATAAAATGTTACATCTGTCACAGTCACTGAGCAGCGTCTGTAAGAACCGACTCCCACCCCAGAGATCTAAACCACCTATGTTCCTCACCAAACACTCCCCTAGTTGATCTGCCCCAGCACCCCACAATCAACTGCTCTTCTGCACACCCCTTCTCCATCTACCTGTGTCCCAGCCCCAGTCTCTCTGCCCAACAATTAATTCCCCCTTTACCTACCATGTCTCTTTTTTTTCCCCCAATGCCGCCTCTAGCTCTCTTGACTCCACCCCCTCCAGCCCCTTTCTCTCTTTCCCCATCTCTCCAACTGATTCCCCAAGTCTTCCCCCAACATCTGTCCCTCCCACGTCTCTGCGTCAAAGAGCCACCCTCGCACTCAGCAATGTTTGCATTCTACCACCCCCGTGAACCCGGAGTGGATTTGTTCTGTATCAATTTCCCCGTCGCTACTGATGATAAAGATGTTGGGGTGGAAAGAGAAGCTCCCTCCATTCTCTTCTGCCCCATTGAGCCGACTCCCTCTCTGGGACACCAACAGTCTTACAGGGCGCCAGGGCCAGGTGCTGGGTAGGCGGCGTGAGCGGAACCACCGACACTCATCCACCATCTTCTTCCTTCCCAGAGGCTGAAGCGGGATCAGGTCACCCAGCAGGACTGTGTGCTGAAGCTGAACCGCAGCCTCAAGGATGCTGAGCACAACTGCAGCGCGGTGCAGAACAACTTCCAGGAGTACTGCCCGGACCTCCCCCGGCAGAAGCGGGAGGTCCAGCTCCTCAACGACCGCTACCACGCTGTGGCCGACCAGCTGGATCACCGGTGAGCAGCCCAGCCTCCGTTACGTGGGATGGGGGTGGAGGCTGGGATTTGGGGCGGGACAGCCAGGAGAGAATTGGGTCCGTCCACCAAACCCAAATGTACCTGAGTCATTTGAATTGAAGGGCCAGCTTTAGGATTTGGGACCCTCTGGGGAGATCTTCTGGACTCCCCTTTGTCCCAGGACCCCAGACCAGTTCCCCCAGGCCAGTGTAGCTTGGGATCCAGCATGCCCAGCTGTGGCATGCTGTGCAGCAATTTTATGTACAGCGTAGGCTTTGCCTCTAGTGCGACAACTGGGGAGAGCGCTGTTTGCTCCTGCCCGCCCCTCTCCCAGTTGCCACTTGCCCCTGTAGATGTGCAGGTAATTGCAGAGTTAACACAATCTGCCTCCTGACTTTAAAACTTCCCCTCTCCGTAATTCAGTCTGTCGTGTACTCCTTGTACACGGGAAGTTTGCAGGGCTGCTACTAACAGGTCAAGCTCCTTTCCCAGATATGCGCTGGTTACAGAGCTTCCCTTTTATAGAGCAGGGGTGGCCAAACTGTGGCTCATGAGCCACATGCGGCTCTTTTACCATTAAAGTGCGGCTTGCAAGCCCCCTGTATCCCCCCATTCTCCACCTACTAGACTGACGGGGGAGGGAGTGAGCTCCGGACCTCTGCCTTGCAGTGGGGTGGTGGAGTAGGAGCTTCTGTCCAGCAGGGAACAGGGGCTCAGGGCTCAGCCCTGCAGGGCACACCTGCTGGGACTCAGGCCTTCAGCAGGAGTGGGGCTGAAGCCCCAAGCTCAAACTCCTGGCAGGCAGGGCCGGCTCCAGCTTTTTTGCCGCCCCAAGCAAAAAACAAACAAACAAAAAAAGGCGGAGTGCCACCGCGAAGGGAAAAAAACAAAAAAACCCCGGAGTGCCGCCCCTTGAAAAGTGCCGCCCCAAGCACATGCTTGGAACGCTGGTGCCTAGAGCCAGCCCTGCTGGCAGGTGCGCTCCGGCTCTCGAACTTCTGAAGATTGTCATATGTGGCTTGGAGGGCCAGTAAGTTTGGCCACCCCGATATAGAGAGAGACAGACACACAGATGTGTTCTCTATAAAAACATGAACTGCCTGGCCAGCGACAGCTGGTATATGCTCAGGTGAGGTATGCGGTGTTGTTAGCCATGTCGGTCCCAGGATATTAGAGAGACAAGGTCGTGAGGTAACATCTGTTATTGGGCCAACTTCTGTTGGTGAGAGAGACAAGCTTTCTAGCAACACAGATTAGGGCTGGGAAAAATACTCCCAGCATCACAGCAAAATGCAAGGTGGAACAGGGGTTAGTGGGTCAGAGAAAGTGAAACAGACAGTCACTATGCTCCCAAATGAACTCAAAGAGGAAAATGATAAAAGACAAAAGACCCTGTCACCTGTGGGTGAACAGCTTTTGCAAAGCAATCTCCCTCTATTGGTCCTCATTCTCAAAGGAAACCTGCACAACACTTACAATATGTGCTAAACAATCTGTTCCCCTTTGCATTTTGCTGTGAGGCTGGGCGTACCTTTCCCAGCCCTGAAGAAGAGCTCTGTGTGTCTCTTTCCCCAGTAAAATGTATTTCCTTCCCCCGTTGCCTCTCAGGTAAGGTATGTTACATATGTCGTCACCTAGGGTTGAACATGATAATACAGTTTAGCATTCATTACACACACTACTAGAGAGAACTGTGCTCTTCTCAGCCAAGCCTTCCTGCTTACTGGCCTACTATAACCACCCCTTTAATTACCCTGGTTTTCACCTGGTGACATTCCCAATGTCCCTTTAGTAATTTGCACATGAGAACCCTCTTTCCCCTTAAACCTCCCCCTGCTCCCCCACCTGTCCAGGGAGAAGACCCTCCGGAACACCAACCTCACCTACCAGCAGTTCCAAAACTCCAACGAGAACATGATGTTCTGGATGAACAACCTGCCCAAGCACCAGGTCAAGACCACAGATGGACTGAGCCAGATCAATTACAAGCTGCAGGCACAGAAGGTGAGCCTCCTGCCAGGCCTAGGGGGAGACACAGACGTGGGGAGGGGAAAGGAGTGTCCCTGGTTTCACCTGGAACCTACATGGAGTGGTAACTGCCACTCTGCTTCTTTCCCTGCGTCACCTGTGGGAGTGAAGTGACTAGTGCAGAAAAAGCAGGACCTTGCCTGATGCAGAGGGCAGCTTGCAACAAGTGGAGAGTGGGATAGGGAATGCAGGGGGGCCAGATCCTGCATCTACGAGCATGCTGCTGCATGGCCTTCAAAGCCCAGGTGGCCCTCACGGAGCATCTCCTGCCAGCTGTCCCCTCCCATTCATACCGGGAATTGGCTGCTAATCTCTATAGCTGCCAACATCCTCGACTGACACAGTACTATGCTGGGGAGAGAGATGGCCTCTCAGACGAGACCCTCTGAACAAACACCAAGAGCTGGTAGGTGGTCGCCCCTCCATGACATACCTGAGCTCTATCAGTCAAGGGGAAAAGAGACCAGGTGGATCCAAGATTCTGCTCTCTTATCCAGGCACACAAGGCCAGAGCTCAGTCACCTCCATTATTTGACATAACTACCCCCATCCCCATATCTTAGAGCCCTACAGATTCCATTGCTGAGATGGCTCAGCTTGTGCCATTAACCAGACAGAAATGCCAGACTGCAGCTGTGTCATGCTCTCTTTGCCAAGACCATTTCCCCATTCCCTCGGTGGAGTCTTTGTTCCCTTCTGATGGGAACCCCTGGAGAAGCAGCTTCTTTCCCTCCCTGACTGCCTTCTGTTTGATAGCATCCTGTCCTTACTGAGAGCTTTGTTGAGATGCAAGTATTCAGGTCCTGTCTCCTTCTCCCGCAGAGGCTGGTGGAGGAAATCCAGGGCAAGGAGGCTGAGAAGAATGCAGTGGTCAAACTATCCCAGACTGTGCAGTCTGCTCTCAACGTACGTTTGGGTTTTGCCATGTGGTTCTGCCATCTAGTCTTGCCCACCAGAGACCCAATCTGACCTCTTTGTCTTCACTTGTAATAGGACTATGAGCTTCAGGCAGGCAAATACTGCTCTTCTCTGGACCCCACCCTGAGTGCTTCCGCTGCCAAAAGACTGCGTGTCACCCCACTGCAAGAGAGCATCCAGGCCCAGGTGAGACCTTGAGACAAAGGCCTGGTGTTAGGAGGTGCAGTTTCATTGACCTTCCATGTGGTTTCACCTGCTTACACCTTGTCTGAAATCAACCTTGGGGAGGTATTGATTGTTCCCCCAATTTCCCACCCCCCCTTTCTGATTGCAGCCAGTGATAGAGTTGCCAGGTATCCGGTTTTCTACCGGAACGCCCTGTTGAAAAGGGACCCTGGCGGCTCCGGTCAGCACCATTGTCCGGGCTGTTAAAAGTCTAGTTGGCAGTGCAGCGGGGCTAAAGGCAGGCTCCGCGCGTACTGTGGCTCCGCACGGCTCCCAGAAGCAGCGGCATGTCCCCCCTCCGGCTCCTACGCAGGCAGCCAGGAGGCTCTGCATGCTGCCCCTGCCCC